CATCTCTTCTTTAGTCCATTCCCTTATCCCCGTTGTAGTTGTACAGAGCCTTGACATCCGCTCGCTGTCCAAACACCACGCATAACTTTTTCGGTCATACCGTAACGGGAGTCCCATTGCCCTACGGTATTCCTGGTTGGTTTTCACACTCCCACGGGGTTGGGCCGCGTACCAGGCACTCCTTGCAGCAACGTATCTCAGATAGATAGCTCGTGGGGAATCATAGCTGGGCGGTGAACATGGATGCGGACTGTGCGAACGCGTGGGCATAGGAACAGGTGACGTGGGCAGCCGTGGCGCAGCTGTAGCAATAGGGTGAGATAGTGCTACGGCCGTCATGGAATTCGAGTTCGGGACCCCCTTTGAATTTACGGTTGAAGCCAGTAATGTGGTTGACTCTGAAGCTGGTTCGGAAGCAAAATGTGATTGCGAGGGCAATTCCGGGTACCTCAAAGGGCAGGCCTTCGAGGTCTTTCTATGGCCAACCATATGACATTTACTGCATCTGCTTGGAGCCCGTGTGCCAGTTTCAGCTGTTGCAGACCTTGTTTGGGCTGAAGGAATTGTCGTCTCGGCACTAGATAGCTCCCATTGACACCGCCTTCTTCGTACACTTGGCTGTGTCCTCCGTCCGCTTGCCCGTACTCCAGTCGTCTTCCCAGACCTGAGAGGTAGTGTCCTTCCTTGGCCTGGCTGACCCTTTGATGTCTGGATCGCGTTGGACGGGGAGCCAGCGCGCTGTGGCCGACTGCTGCGAGACTGAGTGCTAGATACTCGACGGCCCGCAGTTTGGCTGCTGGCCCCAACTGCCATACTGGCTGGTACAGGCTGGGGCTTGTTTTTGGGCCGTCCACGAAGATTGGTGGCAATCTTTGGGTCCAGTATGCGGCGGTATACGTCGCGGCTTACAGGCTCTCGTAGATGCCACCGCGGGTGGATATCCCACTTAGTCAGAGGCACGGTGGTCGTGAGCTTCCGATAGAGTGTGTGATGGCAAGGGATCCCGAGCTCGATAGACACATTGCAATCGTCGTTGCATGTCGTAATGGCATCCGGCCACGGATTAGATGGGCTTGGGATGCCTTTGAGTGCCTTGCGGTACTCCCGCGTGATCATAGAAAGTCCTTTCTGAGACACAACCTGAGGAAGGTCGCCCAGATACTCCGAGCCGCGCCCTAGGTGCTCTCTCGCCGTCAACACCTCGTCCTGGGCACAAGCTTGACGAAACTCCCTCTCTTGGTCTTCCAGCATGCCTTGGATCGCCTCGACAAGCCGATACAAATGGCTC